AAATCTCGCTGAAATGCCTGACACGGGTCATAGTCCCCCCGCTCGAAGAAGTTCCCCTGGCGGTACTTCTTCTCCTCAGTAGGGCTCCGGGATGAGAAGGGTTTTCACAAGTAGCAATGAGGTCATCGGCAACCTCATTCATAAGAGGAAATGAGGACTCAAGCCATATAACGTGTCCGTGGCGGGAATGTTGTAAATAGTGGCCCATCGCATCTGCCTTCCCATGGCACCTCAAATTCAAAGTTGAAACGATAGGTTGTTCTCAAGGGATGCTAGGGAACAGCTTGCAATGGAGTACTGCCTTGCAGCCAATTGAATCAACCAGAAACTTACGTGCCGTAAATCACAAGCGAAGTGAGGCCGCAAACATTCCAAGGTGCTCCAGGCGACAATCAACATGGGTAGTTGTCAAAATCATGGACCCTTTTGGGGTACCCTAAATAATAGGTGCCGTATTATAACAAGGACCCAAAAAGGGACCATAATTTTGACAACCACCCACATGGCTAAATCAAGGCCATGTCAGTAACTACCCTCGAATTTGACCGTTCTCGTAGTGCCACCTTGCGCCCCGAAAACAATATGAAGTCTTGACCGGGGGCCTTTAACCGTAACCCTGTAACTGATCGCTTCCCCGGAGTGTTGGTTAGCGCATAGGGTTCCGGGCACCGAGAGAATCCAAAACTAGCAGAACAAGAGAAAGCTTATGCCAATGCATTGGTGAAACACGATGAATCGTGAGCTTTTCGCGACTCCTATTGCTATGCGCGAGAGTCCGGAAGGAATGCAACCCCGGTAAACAACAGTAGCACGATCGTTGCCCACAAATAAGGGCCTACCAGCACTTTAGCTCAAATCCGCGGAAAACCCCAAACCCTACTAAACTCCTAGTTTAGGTACCTTGCAACTGCCGAGCTGCGAAGTAGTCGCGGAGGCTGTTCTCTTCCATATTGCCCTGCAAAGAGCGCATGACAGCCAGGCCGTAAGTTAGGGCTTCGGGGCTTCGGTGCATCGAGGATAGGGCTATCAAGACAAGCCCACGACCTCCACTACACTCTGCTTGGCACCAGCCCTGCGGTCCCTAAACCTGCAGCCCTACCCCTCACACCGTAAACCGCACACTCATACCATAAACGGGTCTCCCGGCATGAAAACTACGAGGAGCTTCTGGGCTGAAGCCGTTACGGCGAAAGACATCAAGGTCTGAGACTGTGACTGGCTTTTGGGCAGAAGCACCCTTCAGGCGAATCCGTCTATAATCAGTGATAGAGGCTGGGACGAAGATGTTGAGGAATTGATGTCGAGTGTTTCGCAATAATAAGGAAAATACCATATGTAGTTATATATATATATATATCATGCACACTTGTACACTGAGAACGAGTCTGACATGCAAATCGCGAAACATGAAGTCGCAACCTCACTCGATGGTTCATGGAATCACATGACGTGGCAGTCTCAATCGATGGTTCATGGAATCTTCTGCACTCTTCTCCATGAGTACATGCAAGGAGGTATACCTCCCTGTTTCATGTGGGGGTTTCCGAAAATAGGGGACCCTGATATAGTACCCTACATAGTAGGATCCCTATTATAAGGACCCCAAAATAAGGGTACCCCCCCAATTTTCTGAAACTCCCATGTCGCTGTGGGCCTAGATCTGCGAACCCAGAAGATGGCATGGCGCTGGAGGCCGCATTTGAGCCCTGAGCTAAGCTTGTTTTTACTACGGCTTCATAGGCTCAGGCGCACGGTTAAACACAGGGTGGAAGGCAGGGGTGAGGTGCTTTAATCAGTCTTGTGGCATCGGATGTTTGATCACGATAGTTGAACCGTTGTTGCTTCAATGATGGGTACATGCACATCTTCTTTTGCAACACCCTGGCACCATTCTGCTTGAGTCACAGAAGTGGCGATATGCAGACTGTGGCATGTGATGTCTCCGCGAAGAGTCTCTACGAAGATGAGAAGCTCCAGAACGCCCTTATCCGGAGCCCAACCGTCAAAACACAGGCCCGGAATCACTGAAGACAGAGCCGTAAGCCTGTAACCCACTTGAATGGGGAAGGGCCAAGATGACTTGGGGGTGGAGCGAGCACAAATTCATAGACTCCCGCCTACGACACGACCATGACAAGTAATTACTCCAAATCATATCGCAGTTGTGGACTGTGCATCTGCAATTCTGCTGCTACTTGTTTTTTAGAGTGTTGTGTCGCTGCTGCTGTCGTCGTTGTTCCCGAAGTTTTGGACTGAGGCCACAGGGTTCCGTAGCTACCCGACACTTCACACACAACCGCAGATGCCAATACAGAGGGATCCTCTCTTGTTTTGCCTCAGAACCCCTCTGAGAAGAGCCAGAAGCAACTGCGGACAGTCGGATTGCTGTGGGCATTCTGGCCTGCAGGCTGCAGCTCTTCGGACTTCTGGGCTGGGTGGTTTACCCAAGGGCTCGGATTACTTAAATATATGGGCTACTGGGTTAGATAAGCGATAGTTCGCAAGCTACTGTTTAGGTAGCTGGAGCCCTTGGGCCACAGAAAGCAAAGCTTTGACTAGGCTCAGGCACTTAGACTTAGGCTGTTGCGGGTTATAGCTTCCCACATTGAAATGCTTGCAAAGCCTCAAGCCTCGACACCTAAACGCCAGATTACAGGAAGCATATAGTAGCTGCTTTGCTTTGTACCCGACTTGATGATCTAGGCCTAGAAGGCTTGTGTCTAGTCTTTGCTTATCGGCTTAATTTTAAGATTCAGGGTCGCAATGGACTGCAGCCAGCACAGTTGCGAATGCCCGTCGCAGCGAGCGGCCATCTTGCATCAAGCGACTTGCAGGAAATTTCGGAGAGTCGACCGAGAGAGTCCTAAACCAAAGCACACTCCTGCCAAGCAAACCTTCCCAGACTCGGAAAACTGTAAGCTGAACAGCAAGGCTGTGCAAAGGCGCGATGAAGCTGGATGATGCTTGTTTTTAGAAAGCACACAGGTGGACTTTCATCACATTGTAACACGTTCAGACCCCTTCATGTACACTTCCCCAGCTCCTAGCGAGACTCGGCGCACCCTTAGTTTCTGGACATGACCATGGGTCGATAGGGTTCGGGGTATGCGAGTTTGCTATCCCGACGAAGAGAAAGCGAATAAGAAAGGTGCGCTTGCGCTGATTGCAGGATACAGCAAGATGGCCTCTCCAATAGCCCACTGAAACCAAACGGCTGGGGGGGTGAAGGCTTAGCTTGAGGTCTGGGCTCAAACCAAAACCATAAGATCTGAACCGAACAAAGCTCCAACAGTCTGGTGAGAGTTGATACGTGAAATGTCGTGATATCCAGGCGGAACCTAGGGAGCCTCAGGCTGTTGTCTCACTGAGACTATCGTGACTATCACGGAACCGACAAACATCAGGACAGCACCCACACCCATCATTAACCCGACATCCAAAGCCCCAAGCCCTGAACCTTAAACCCCGAGACCTCCAAAATCTCTGCTGCGCATCTGTCCTTATTCCGGATTCGGAAACTAACTTGTGTTATCATGAGGGCCCCAGCCGTCTATACACAAAGAATAACATCACATCAGCATGCGTGCACGCATGCCAGCCTCTTTGGAACCAGTTGAACGGACACGTGTGGTGGACCGGGCGCTTCTGCAAGGATAGAAGCGGACAAAGGAAACGCGAGCTCCGTAGCGTAAGCCGAACTGTTTTGGGGGGCTCCTTATTACAATTATAGTATAATGGTCCCCAAAACCCTATTCGAATTATTACGGCCCCTATACTACTCATGCTACTCCTCTCCAACAAAGGTTCAGGCCTGTAAAGCCGAGGCCGGCGGGAGCCATGCGCAGAAACCGAATTTGCACCGAATTGCGCACTCAGAGCAATGCCTGCAACGAGGGTGTTTAGGGGTTTGGGGGTTTAGGGGTTTGGGGGTTTAGGGTTTAGGGGTTAGGGGTTTAGGGGTTAGGGGTTTAGGGGTTTAGGGTTCAGGGGTTCAGAGTTCAGTGTTTAGGCGTTTAGGGGTTT